TGACGCTGATGATACTGCTGCTGCTGCTGCTGCTGCTGTTGCTGATGATGATGATGATGATGATGATGATGATGATGATGATGATGATGATGGTGATGGTGGTGGTGGTGGTGATGATAATTATGATAATGACAAATGATGATGATTTTAAAGTGAAATAAAAAAAATTTTCAATTTCGCTTTCACAGATAAAATAGACAAACAAATATAACAAATTATAGCTTTGAAATAATGGATATTTGAGAATATAATATTCATATATGATTTAATTATTTTAATTTTTTGGTTAATATTATAAATAAATTTTACTCTTACTCTTATTTCTATTCTGTAGTATAGAATTATTTAAGATTAAAGTTTATTTCAAGTCTCTTAAAAAAGAAGTGACATTGTTGATCAAGCAAAATCTCTGTCATCGTTGCAAACATTGAACATTTTATTTTAGTTATATGTAAAGTATATAACTAAACTATACGATATTAGGTATAAAAAAGAAAATGTATATTATACATTTTTAGCTAATAATATATTTTTGATATATGTCTAGCAATGATGATAATGACTTGGAAGATGGGGAAATTCCATCCGATGAAGATGATGAGCCTCTACCACCACCAATACATAATGAGGTCAATAAAAGTGCATCAAAAGCAGATGTACAGAAAAATAAAACTTTTGATTCTAAATTTAATAAAAATAAAAAATCAAGTGTTCAAGGAAGTAGCAAGCATGATAGATTTTTAAAATACAAAAATCCTTCAGAAGATTGGGCAGGAGATGTAGAAAAAGCAATTAGGGCAGCATTGGAAGAAGATGGTGCTAGAAATCAAGATTCCAAATCTAAAAGTAAAAATAATAGAAATAAGAGTAGAAAAAGAATAAGGGATGAAAGGGAGGAGGACCGTAATAAAGATCAAAAGGTTTTATAGTAGTTAATTATCATTAGTAGAATTAATTCAAATCAGTATTTCACACAGACTTATTATAAATTTATGATTTACAGAGAAGAAAAGTGAGCGATGATGAAAATGTTAATGAAGATGACGATGAAATGTTATTTGTTAGGGGTGCTTCACCTATTAGGAAAGATTCGCAAGAGAATAATTCTCCAAGACATTCAAACGAACATGAAAATTTTGATAGTAACTCAGATTATGATGAGAGGCCTAATGTAAATCGACATAGAGATAATGATAATAAACGCAGTAATTCGAGAGGAGGTGGCGGTGGAGGAGGTACGATAATGTATTAATATTACCAAGTTGACTTGTTAAGTTTTTTTCTTGCATATCAGTTACAAATGATGTTTTTATCATGTAGGACGTAGAGGCGGTAAAAACGAACGTGGCGGTAAAAATAAAACCCGTGGGCAAATGCGAAACGATAGAAATGGACGGAGAAATCAAAATATCGATCATAATCAAGATCCAGATGCTATATGCGTTTATTACATGCAAGGAAAGTGTCACAGAGGAGACGATTGTCCCTTTTCACACAATGCTTTGCCACCACGAAAGATGGAACTATGCAAGTTTTATCTCATGGATTGTTGTGCAAAGAGAGATAAATGTCTTTATATGCATCATGACTTTCCATGTAAATTTTTCCATACAGGATTAAAATGTAATCAGGGAGAAAATTGTAAATTTTCTCACCAACCTTTAAACGAACAGGTACTTATATTTTAGCTTTTATATTGATATACTTTAGAAAAGCTTACATTAACTATTATACTTTTACGCAGGTGAAAGGAATTTTATTAAAACACTTAGAAACAGCACCAAAAGAAATTCTTGGAGATTTTCCGCGTTTAAGTAGAGAAGGAGCAATGTTAATGATAAATAATACAGCAAGAACACTGGCACAAGGTCAAGAAATTACAAATCAAAAAATTCCGAGTCTTTTTGAACTCAATATATCAGCACCAACTAGTACTACAGAAAAGAGTAACGAAAAAGAAGAAAAAGGTATTTGGATATATTTTATTTATATTTTTAAGGGTACAGTTTGTACTGAAAATAAAACTTATTTTATTAGAAGAACAAACGCAGCAACAGCAGAAAACAGTTAGAGAGAGGAAATCATCAGGGAAAAAAACTCGTTGGGGTTCTGACGAAGATAGAGTTCCATACGAACAAATCATGCTGCTGCAATCATCAGCCAATGAGCTTGGTTTGCAACTTCCTAATGTCGCGTTGGGTTTAGCAACTCAACAACATCTGCAGAAACCTTTAGTACCCCAATCTATGCCAAATATGGATTTTTATACCGAAGCTAATAACATCGAATCAAACAAAACAAATTTAATCAAAACAAGGGACAGAGAAGATTTTACAAAAGATGTAGAAGAGGATGAGATACTGGAACAGGCATGATAATTATAGTTTTATGTTATGTAATAAATTTTTATAAAAGACTACAATATTATATAATATTTTTTACTTTTAGGCAAAAAAGAAAGATACATCATTACTTGAAAATTCGAAAGACATAGATTTAAGACAGTTGTTAAAAGCAAAAAAGCCTCCACCTGTTGTTAGTATAGCTGATGAAGTAGCAAATCTTACTAAATCTAAGTTCGACGAGGAAAGTGATCAAGATGAAGAGACAGATCTTGTTATAGAAATGCCAACAGAAGATGACGATAAACAGAAAGATAAAGGTACAGAACAAGAAGGTAAGATCGAGTTTTTTTATTTGCGTACGAAGTATAAGAATGAAAATAAAGAGGAAAATTAGTAAAAATTACCTAATTTATGATATTATCTAATTTAATATCATTATTTATATATAGAAACAAATATTGCAAACGAAGGAACTAATAATCACCGTGATACTTCTTCACCATGTGCGGAAGAACAAGAAGTACCAACTCATCTACCAAAGAAGGCACAGGAATTGTTCATGCGTATTCAGCAACAGCAACGGGCGGCTCAAGATAGTTTTAAAAATATAGAAAACGAGTGCTCTGCACGAAATACAGATCAAATTTTGGAAGACTGGTATTCAGATGACGAAGATGACGACGACGACGATGAAAGTGGAAATCTTACGATAGTTCTTTCCAATAAAGATACGTCGAAAGAGGAAGGTGAATCTGCAGAAAAAACACAGAATATCGTGATTAAAGAAGAATTTCAAACTGCACCTTCTGCTCCTACTATACCTCAACCAGCAGCTATCGTAGACAAACTTGGAGATCTAAGTAAAATTGACATTAGCGCCGAAGTATCAAAACTACTATCGTCAATAAAAGCAACAACGGGTAAATCTTCCCAACAAAATATATCGGATTATTCTTCAAAAGCTAAATCCTCGCCGGACAGAATATCATCGGACGAATCAAATATCCAAAGTACATTCAATACTTCGAATCAGTTATCAAAAATTGAAAACGAAACATCGAGTCCACGTTCCTCCCCTGGAACAAGTTCTGTACCTATTTCCAGAGATCCTCGTATGTCTCGAGATCCCAGACAACGTAGAGACGAACAAAAATCAAGCAGTCCTAACAGAATAGACAGCAAGAAGGAATCTAAGCATCTTAGATTAGAAACAAGTATCTATAGTTCTGGTATTACTGCCGTTGATACTAATATGGACACCGATCTCCGAACTAAGACCGATCAAGATCTTCGAAGAAAAGACATGGATTTCAGGCAACAATTTCAAACCAGTTTTGGAGATACTGATCTTCGAGTTGTCGGTGCAGGATTCACCGATACATCCACCAAGTCCGATGTAGATTTGCGACAAATGTTGAGCTTACCGTTTAAACCCGCACCGTCGCACGTACCTTGTACGGAAATCGACGCAAGTATATCTTCGCACCCTCCAATGACATACAAAGTATACGTCGTTGACATACCAAGACCCGACTATACGGGTCTCAAGCTCACTAAGAATGATGCACAGGTAAAATACGATCCACGATTGCGTAAAATTTTTAGAATTGGCAAAATTGAATTGGCCGATTCTCCTATGTCTCCGCCGCCAATTAAAATGGATACTCCTAAATCACCTCCACAAGTTCGATCCGATCCACGTCGAAAAGCTCTCGAGGCTTCCAATTTATCTTCTCAAAATGCGAATACTTCCATGATGAAGAACGTTCAACAATCACCAATGGAAATGTCGAGCATAGGAATGGGTCCTGGTGGTATGGCTGTTTCTCAAGGTATGCCTGGATCACAGGGAATTCAAGGAGGACAAAGCATGATGCCAATGGGGCCAAATCCGATGCTTGGAAACATGGGTCCTATAGGACCTATGATGAACGCACCGATGGGTCCCCAAAACATACCACCAATGGGTATGACAGGAATGTCCAATATGCCTCCAGGAATGACTATGAACGGACCAGTTGTGCCTCAGAATCAGATGAACTTCGACCCACGTTTTAACGTTCAACGCAACAATGGAGCTGGGTTGTTAGGCCCAGCACCTGGTGTAGGCTTTGGGCCAGATGTTAATGCCTCATACGACGGTGCACCAACATACTCCAGTGGTAATTTTAATAATTTTGGTCCCGGTCCTACTCCAGTGCCTCCAGACTCTAGTATGATGGGATTCAATCCAAATGGTCCGAATCCAAACTTTGGTATGGAGGGACCCGAGTGGAATGGAGCAAATCAAAATAGACGTGGTGGGCGAATCAGGCGACGAAATCGAAATAGGACCAATATCGTGACTAATAATTAAGGCAATAAGCAATTTCAAATAGGTACATAAGCAAAGTACCTGGTGATAATTCTCATTGTAATTTAAATTTGTACAGCGTGCATTAGCGAGATAATGCATTCATTTATGGTGGTCCACATTAATGATTTTTTGATTGTGTCAATCGTACATGGTGTCAAATGCTCGCTAGCGGTTAAATAGCAAAATATAAATTTAAACTATTTGAAGAAAAATATTAAAAATTGTACATGAATTACACACTTGGAAGCATTTCTTTACATAAAATATAAATGTCAATGAACGGTGTAAGTAATGCTCATAATTATGTGACATTCTATATTTTATTTAAAAAAAATATAAATAATATCATATACATGAGAAATATATATCTATTATGTTATGAATAATAGCAAATGAAATTTTCAACGGAATTATGTATCTGTATATATTGAACATCTTTATCCATTTAAAAAGACATTTAATATATAAGATATGATGAATGAAAAATCGTTCGATTTGTTCTTTTCTTTTCTTTTTTTTTTTTTTGTTTTTTTTTGTCTTCCATGCGTAGTATATAATAGAAATACATACATACATATGAATATGTGTATGTACGTATGCGTGCGCGCGCGTGTGTGTGATTTATATATAAATAATAATTTTGGCTTCTAAAATGCATATAAGTTCGATTAAATTGCGTTTAGATTTTGCAGTATCAAAATGATATATTCATTAAGCATTACATGGCTCAAGGCCTAGTATCATAAAAAGAAACACCAATAAAATGACATAGTACACGATACAGTACGAAGATGCAATATTTTATAAAAAAAAAAAAAAAAAAACTAACGTATTTATAAGAGTTTTCAAAACAATTGTACATGGACATACTTTTTTACTTACATTAAAAAAGATATAGATGGATATCAAAAGAAATTTTTTTTTTTGAAATTTTTTTAGGGATTGCAGGTAAAAATAATGTATTTAAATAAATGTGAACCTTATCATAATCTAGGTTTTACACTATTAGTAACATTTTTACTCTGTAATTACATTTACCACGATGGCTACCATATGTTCCATGTATTAATATTAAATACATCTTTCTGCTAAAACGCAGATTAAGAAATATTTCTTTGAGAAATAATATTAGAAACAGAGTATATATTTCAATTTAAAGAATCGTTCACTTATTATTCAACGTTGACCTATTCATATTTTTCTCATTACTCCTAGAAAGTTAAAAAATGAAAATTACGTTTGTAAAAAATATAGTTTACTATCACACAGTGAAACTTTTTTGTACAATTTAATGTCTTTCTACTATTATCTGTAATATTGTAAACAATGGTTATATTTATCCATTGCACTTTGTTCAAAACGCAAATATTTTAAATATGGATATAAAAAATTGGATAAAATTTATACAATATACAATCCATGTAAGAAATTGTACTTTCGTTTGATTATAATTCATTGTTGAAAATTCTTATTTAATCATTATTATTGTTATTATTGATATTACTCAGTTGTACTATTATTCGTAAGCAAAAATAATTATAATTGTAATTTTTTTTTCATCAATGTACGATAGAACTTAAAGGATCAGCTCTTATAGCTGATAGATCCAAACGTGCATCCATTTCGTCATCCAATTCTCCTACAATTGCCCTGAAAGAAGAAAACAAATATTATAATTCTACTTATTTATTTAGAATTTTTTTAACCATTTATGAAATAAGCGACTATGAATTGTAAATAAAATTAATAACTATATGTATTTTTTTAATTACATGTATTTTTTATCGAAACAATTATATGTATTTTTTTATTTTATTCGCGTTGTCTGTTAAACTGCCAGAATAAAAACATAAAATTAATATTTTCTATTTTGCGTATCATGCGTAATATAGCATTATAGGTAATATACTTAAATTGAACAAGTATAGAACGAATAAATTTTCAAAAAAAACAAGCCAATACTACGAACAAAAATATATATTTCAAACGCATAAAGAATAAATTAAGTTAAATTACTCACACATTATCACCTCTAATAATATGTAAACCTAATACTACTTGCTCTACACCTTGAGTCGTACTATACACACGTTCATGAGACTCATCTAATATTATATTAATCGTTTGATCAAAACCCTTCAACGTTCCCTGAAAAATGAAAGGGTCTTAGCATATATTATAATCGCAACATTGAAACAACTACAGTACATTTTACAAAAAGAAAAAAAAGGTCTGAGACGTTAAACTGAACAATCAATCACAATTACGAAAGATATATTTCTCTAGATGACAATACACGTGTAAGAATTTCCAATAATAATTATAACGTCGTAATTTATAAAGAAATTATAACACGTACACGTCAGAAATAGCATACTTACGATGAAATTTCTACCATCCGAGGTGATTATGGAAACAGTATCTAAGAAATTGCTAAGGACAGAACTGTGACTATCAAAAATAAAATAAACAAGGCAGAAAGACAAGAGAAACAAAAGGATACGATTTACATAACTTTCCAAACCTGACGCCATAATCTTAGTTGTTAATTATACATTAAAATAATCTTTCCTGTGTAAATTTTTACTCCAATACAATACGATTTACGCGTCGTAGTTGATACTTGTATAACAAATGCGTATCAGTCAATTCACCGTTTTGCAAATACATACATTACTCGATTACACGTTTAGGATAGAGATTTCCTGTTACATTAAGAAATATTAATTTCGCACGTGTTAGACGTTTGGTTCGATTACACACGGCCGGAACACCAAATAAAAGCTCAACACGTTCACTGTTGAGCAATTTATTTCAAGTTAAGGTTCAAACTGATCGGTAACACGGTCATATCATAGAAGTTTGGAAATATTTTTTTTACTTCACAAAATCGTTATTACCAATTTAAACGAATCAAAGTTCGATATTTTAATTTTAACGAATGTTAAATATAAAACAAAAAGCTCAATCCGTGCTTCAAATAGAACGATTCGAGCACATTTTAGTGAAATTCTGATAGATTTAGGAATTCGCGATCACCGTATATAGTTTATAATTGTTGTTGAACAGATTGTTCCCTTCCACGTGCAAAATCTTAATTTTTATTAAAAAAATATTAACAAGAAGTGTGTATTTATAAAAAGTTTCAATTATTTTCAAAGTTGTTAAAATATTAAATTTGCGACTAGAAGATGTATTAATTTATCGTATAAAAAATAATTCTGTCGAAACGACGTGTACAAAAGCGTATATTTATCGAACATTGTTTTGAACTATCTTTCGAGTTTTTAGTATACAGCGCTTGCAATACCACGTGAAAAAGTTGTTTCTCACTGTGGTAAATTTCGCTCGTTCCTACGAAATAACATGGATTTTCAAACAACAAACACAAGGAGGAAAATATTAAATCACGTAGTCTGTAGTATTTTGGTAGAATGCGGTTACGACACTTGTGAAAAGCAAGCACTAGAGGTTCTCACAGAAATGCTACTGTCTTGTAAGGATATTAATTAATTTTAGTATTTCTAACCTCTCCGTATTCGAAATTTGTCAACTTCATTACGATATCATTGTACGATTATAAACACGGATGATAAACATTTGTATTATAAATATAAATATAGATTATGTAAAAAGTTTATGCAAAGAGAACGTACCGTTATAAATCTATATAACATAAATATAAACCTATACGACACGAGTATAAACAAGTTACGCGAATGGAAAGCAACGTAATTGGATAAAAATTTCAGAAACTGAACAAATATTTACGAGATTATTCTTAAATTTATATCATCATTCGTTGGACAGATTTGTAATGACACGTGCTTAAATTATTTATAGTTGTCGTAGAAGTTGGAGAATCTGCAAGGAATTACTGCGAACTGTCCGGTAGAACAGAACCGCTCATTGCGGATGTTATAGTAGCGTTGGTAAATATGGGTATAAAATTAGATAATTTGGAAAGTTATGGCAAGAGAGCCAATAGAACAGTTTTGCCGCCGCTTCAGCAACAAACTCAATCGAAACAATTAAATATTTTGCAAGCTGGAGTGAAACAGAGTCACCCATCTCACATACCGAGTTATTTACCACCTTTCCCTGATCCGCATGCATACATTCGAACACCGGTAAAGTAGCAACGAGAATAAAAATATATGTAATTTTTCAAAGGCTTATACGATTATATTCGTTAATATTTTTAGTTACTCTACATATAGCTTTTAATTACAGTCTTTATTTACATAACTTACTTATAAACAGACACATAAACAACCAGTAACAGAGTACGAAGCAATAAGAGAGAAAGCAGCAACGCAAAAACGTGATATCGAAAGAGCTTTAACAAGATTTATTGCAAAAACTGGGGAAACACACAGTCTGTTTTTAACAGAAGATAACAGTATGTTTCCACGTAAGTGGAGATTTTTTTCAAAAAAGTTTTCCAACTCGTACGAAATAGTAAATCTCCATACAAGCGATATAACGTTTAATTAAGAATTAAATCTTATTTCAGTAATATCGTGTAAACCGCAATTTCCTAGTTATCTTTCCGCACTCCTTCCACAGGATCAAGTTTTTGAAACTGATCAGGACTTTCAATTTGAACCAAGTCCAATCAAAAAGAAAAAGGAGCAAGAGAGAGAAGAGTTGGAAGAAGGTTTCATCTCGTCTTAAATATATATTAAAAAATTTGCTTTGTCATCGTTACGGTAAATTAATTTATGATATTTTATATATTTATAGGTATGAAAGGACAAAACGAAGATGTCGAACAAAACGGGGAAATTGCAACGCAACAAGACGCTATAGATAATCCTTACTTGAGACCTGGAAAAATACCAAAAAATAAAATGCCAGGCGCCTCGGTTCCTGGTTTACATTCAATAAAGAGGGATTCTCTTGAATGATATCTTCAACGACAATGGTATTATTTTATTAAATTTGTTATTTCTTAGGTTAATATCGTGTACATAATAATATATCATAAAGTATATTTGACAAACTTTTGTATTTATATCTTATAATAAAAATTAATCTTTATTACAAATAGCTTTATATAAAATTATCTTGAATCACTAAAACGAATATTACATACCGCGAATATTCCACAATTTCATCTTATAAACTGTCATTTACGTTCGTATTAAATTTACAATTTTCCTCAAATTGTATCAAATTGATTCCACGTATTTGGTGTTTTTACATTACTTACTTTTAAATTACGTTCCAGTACGTATCAGATCTATATTGCACACATATATATAGCACCAGTTTGAAAAAAATAAGAACATACAAAGACAACTATATAAATCCTCTAAAAAGGACGATTAGATAAAACTTACAAAAATAGATTTCCTCATTATAGTATTGCATGTAAGGTTCCCTACGCGCGTGTGTGTGTGTGTGTGTGTGTGTGTGTGTGTATATTGTGGTAAATAGCACCTATTAAAATTATATTCGCGCATTTTCATTTTGCAAAAATATATTGTACCATCTTGGTTTCACGTGGCATTTCAATAAATGTAGATAAAAATTTATATAATATTTATCAATCGTGCTGATTTTAAATTGGTAAGTCCTGGGTGTGGCGCGCACGAACGCGCGTGGGAAGTACACTCGTCACTAGTAAAAATATATAGTAAATTGGTAATTTGCACAAGGCATAAGCTTTATCATCTCTATATTTTTATTTCTCGATTCTCGATGAAACTTTATAAGAGAAATAGACTCTGAAGATTGTTAATTAAGCATTCCCTTCAACGTGTCATCTAAAAATACTTGTCGATTGAGATGTATCTCTCAATTCGTACGAAATATGTTCCTAATTGTACGAATCACTAGTTCGTTTGTCACGTTCAAATCAACTATAACTTCTACACAACGAATACAGCATTTGTTAGTACAGTTACAAGTATAAATTATACGATAAAATTTATATCAATGAATATTTCGAGGATATCATTCAAACATTTAAAATAGATCTAATTATACAAAACCATAAAAACTTAAGTTCACATTTTTCTTTATTCATAATCATTGCTAGTTGTACAATTACTACTAATTGTTGCTTGACTTTTAAAAATTTGTAATATTTATTTCCGAAAATTAATTACGAATTTAAAAAATCCTATATGTTTCGAATTCTATTACGTACCAGTTTGAATGTTATTCCTCGTTGGAACACTTTTACGATACATATCGTGGAATCGGTCAAAATGTATCGAAACGTATCAAGAAATCTTACCCATCCGTTACATTTCACTTTCATCATTGCAATTTTTTTTTTTAATATTGATACCAAGGCTGCCGTCGAACCCAGCGTAATTTCATACCAGACGCGGTACGTATTTTTATGCTGGCACACTCCGCGGCACGAACAGTTTCCTTTACACTCTGCATAAGATTTTGAGCATTTCCAACCAACATATCCGTTGCTTCTTGATCTTCCTCGGTACCTATATTTTACACGAATTATACAAATGAAATTAGAACGTTTAATTCCAAAAAAAAAGAAAACAAAAACCAGTTTTTAACACGCCCAATTGTGTAAAAAAATATACATTAAAATACTTCAACGGAGATAACTTTTGCGTTAAATTTGTCCAAGTCGTTCGACGAAAGTTTCAGAACCGACGCGTTGAAAAATAAAAGTGTCTGTGCCTACTATCAAATTTTACAAGTATACCACATTATATGATCAATGTACGTGTGATAACATCGAAATAGACTATTTACGAACAATTTTGGTACAACGATTCAATTTTTAACACATACGTTGCGTGCTAAAAAAAAAAAAAAAAAAAAAGAACTGCAACTGTAACGAGGAACGTGTGAAAACATAACTCGATGCAAGATCGTACAATGACTCTGTTACTTACATTGAAAATTACATGCAAATGTACGAATATAAATGCTAATATCATTCAACGTACAACAGTGCACGTAAGTGTCTATCTCACAAGGGAAATAAGAAAACATACGGATAAAAAAAAAAATCATGCTAAAAAGATAAAATCAAAATATACCAAATTCTGTAATAGAAATAGAAATATTCTAATATTCTAAAATTTCCAGAATAGAAATTTTAAACTAATTTGAGTTAATGTTACAAAAACTGCGAACCGCATCATATATATATATATATATATATATATATATATATATATATAT